CATAATTAGGCTACCTAGTGTGTTCAGCGGGCGCCGTGCTTTATTGTACCCTGCAGCACGTGAGGGCAGCACATCACAAAGTACGGCTGTAAAACAAATTGCCTTCAGTGTCTATATACTTTCATAAAAAAAATAAATATGACGGATCCCTACTGTTTCTGTACTGGTCAGAGTTTAAAAAGAAAACCACCCACGGAAAGGAAAGGTTTCCAAGACTTTCTTTAATCTTTGGTTTACCGCAAAAAAAACATGATTGGGTTTGCTACGCTTTTCAGTCAAAAGAAAGTAGGCCGGTAGCATAAACCAGCCCAGGAGAGGATGAAATCTATCCAGCTAATGGCAGGAAAATACAGTTAGGCTAATTGCAGAGGAAAGCCTCTGTCTTACGGGGTAATTAAAGCTCCACTGACAGCATTATGATTACAGGTATGCTGGTCTTCACGGCAGGCCTGACGTGTAAGCACAGAAAAGTTGTCTGATTGTTTAATATACCGCACCCTTACCTCACCCGGGCTGTCAGAGGATTTGGGTCTGACTGAACTAATAGAAAAAGCGAACTCTCTCAGATGTGTCTTTGTGTGTGTGTGTGTGCCATTCCCTGCTTTCATACTCGGCACAACTTGGTGAACAGCACAAGCAAAGTGAAAGAAAACTCCTGTGAGGAGTTTTTTTTTTTTTTCATGCTCCATGGCTGAAGGTTTACAGCTGAATTCATCATCCGATCCCTGTCGACGCTCGTTGGAATGTTAGCACGTTTGAATCTTGTCTGCTTTCAGATGTGTGTGCGGTTTAACTGGCCTGTGGTGATGTCTGACACAACGTAGAGCCTGGAGAAGCCTCTGCTGCATTTTCTAGCCATAAAGTGACAATGTGTTATTTAAAGATGCCTTAAAAATTACTTCTTACTCATAAAAAGCTTAATTTGTCAGCAATCAAATACACTATTGCTCAAGTTGAATGAATAGCGGCATGCATGGACGCAGCAGCCCCTTCAGGAGACAACGAATGAATGTTTAGTGTCTTGCCTATTGCTAGCTAATCAAAGAGCTGAATGCATAAAGACGTTGATATGACGGAATTTTATCTTCTGCTTCATCAGGTTGTGGCTGCACAGTGGCCACAGTGGTAACCTGGGGAAATGAAAATCACCTCGAAGGGAAAGGATCTGATTTTTGATTCTACTCTCGTTAAGTTAGTTCCTACGGAGCCCCAGAAGGGACATGGAGAAAGAACAAGAACACAGGGAGAGAAAAAATAAATAAATAGAGGTATCTTTTGCGAGAACTCGCAAAAGTCACATCAATCTTAATGGACGTTTAGTGAAAACTGTGCCTCTTGCTAAGCACTGCTTGAATGTCTTTATATTTTAGGCCGATTTCAAAATCCATCCATCCATCCATCATCTATTCACTGCTTAATCCTCACTAGGGTCATGGGGGGCTGGAGTCTATCCCAGCTGACTCAGGTTGAAGGCAGGGGACACCCTGGACAGGTCACCAGTCTATCACAGGGCTACACTTAGAGACAGACAACCAAGCACACTCACATTCACACCTACAGACAATTTAGAATCACCAATTAACCTCAACATGTTTTTGGACTGTGTGGGAGGAAGCCGGAGAACCCGGAGCGAACCCACGCTGCACGGGGAGAACATGCAAACTCCACTCCAGAAAGATCCTGGGTGTCCTCACTGGGACGCGAACTGGCAGCCTTCTTGCTGCGAGGCAACGACGCTAACCTCTGAGCCACCTTTGATTAAATGATCCTGAAGAAACGCTCTCTCTCATCTACTATGTGTGTATGTACAGCAAAATGACAACAAACTTGATTTGATTCTGAACTTGATAGTCACAGGTTTGGTCCAGTTTGAGCAACTCAGATGCAGCAGCGACTCCGTTTATCACCTTTATAAGCTCCTTCCTCTTGTGCGAGCTTTAAATGAAGAGATAACAGAAGCTTAACATCCATTAACTTGTTTTCTGACTTCAGTCTGATTACACTAATTAGTTTTAGAAGTGGTACAGTATGTTAAGCCATCACAAGAGTCACAAAGCGATCTTTGTGCGTCATAAAATGAGCAAAAAGACGATTTAAAAAAGACTGAGAAAAGCTCTAAACACCCCATAACCCATTTTGTTGAGTAGCTCCACTTTAGCTGCAAGTAACAATGATGCTGCATCTCTGAATCTTCTTGGCTCGCGCACGCTTTTTTAGCGACTTGTACATCTGCTCCGTTCTGTACCATCATCCTTCTTTTTTCTGCTGATGTCGGATTTTTGCTGCAACACATGACTTAATTATGAGAAGAACTATCTGTGCTGCAAATCGAAGAATCTGCTCTTTCTTTGAGCATCTGACAAAAGAGGTCTGTGCACCGTGCATCTTCTGGACGCCTCTCATCTGCAGGGTTTCGCTTTGCAAACTGTGAACTTCTGTTTTCTTCCGAACACTTGGTGTGAATTTTAGTGCAGCCGAAAATGGGCTGATGTCTACGTGCGGCATCACTGTGCAGTCGGCTGTGCTAAGCCGCTCTAACGACAAGTGTATTTATGGTGAAGCTAAAATGATCATTCTGCCATTTCTAGCGTGAAACTTCCACGTCTTGAAATGGGGGGGAAAAAATATCTGCGGATATCTGTGTGTAGCTACAGGAAAGTTTCTACGACAAACATGCTTCCCTTCAAGTGTTTTTTATTTTTTTATCCCACAGAATACATCAGAAATCTGTTGAAAAGGCTTTAAAATGCTGGATTTCTACAAGAGGTCAGGTTTGTTTCTAATTTATTTCGCTGCCGAATATCAATAAAAACAGCCTGTCTGTACTTTTGCGAGAAAGCATGGGGAAAGTATTAGACGCAACACAGTACGCTCGATTGATTCAACAAAGGATTTACGATAGAAACACAAAACTCTTTGAAGTTGCTGCATTTGATATGCATCCCTGAAGGCAGAAGTTCACCTTTAAGCATCTATAAACACATCTGTGACAACTGAGGATTTCCTTGTTGCTGCACACGAGCTTTTCTTTCCTTGGGTTTTTTATTTTTCTTAGCTGGACTACAGACAGGAAACGATAAGCTTCGCCTATGCTCCTCTTTTAATTTCAGCACACGCCATCAAAGATGCACAGATGGTGAAAACCTTGAGGGAAAAAGTGGTAGAGAATGATCAATAGACCTCAGAAACATCCTCTCACATGGCTCCCCCTTGTGGGTGAGGAGACGTGGAGTCTCGGTGGCTGCCACAGAGCAGTTTGGGCCCGTGATTTACATTTTTTAGACGCGCCCATCTAGAGCGATTTACAGTTAGCGAACTGCTGGGGATTCACTGTCCTGCTCAAGGACATTTCCACTGGATAGATGACTGTGGCACAGACTCAAGCTATAAATTCAGGGTCATTTTGTCAAACTCCAGAATGTTGAGCTTTTTTTTTTTTGTTCAGTTGTGATGTGAGCAAAGTTTAATCATAGATTGGTTTCACTTCACATCCTCTGAGACTCATTTTCATATGCTGTTTCACTGAAGGGGGTCAGCGCACAGAGGCAGGGGGTTCACCGTCTTGCTCAAGGACACTTTGACAGAGATGGACACGTTGATCTCGAAGGGCTTTGCGGTTCTTCTCGCTGATCATGTGGACTTATGAGGACTATCAATGCGTGACCCCTTTTCTTTTCCCCGGAGATTGAGAAAATCAGAATCAATGCCATGATCAAAAGAAAGGAGGGATCATACATTTTTTATTCACTTGGAGATGTCAGGTAATTGGACTAAATTCTGTCTGGGCTTTAAGGCAATTCCTGTGTTATTTCCAAACTATAAAATGCCATCAAATCTACAAAAAAAAAAAGAGCTTGCAGAGCTAGACTGAATTTAAATTAAAATTGGATTAGGATTATATTGGCCATCTTGTGGTATTAAGGTTTTCTGTGCAAATCTGCTGCAGTCTCCTGAGTAAAATCAACACTCTCTACACACTTGAGTCGGAAAAGCTCTCTGCTGCAGTTTGACGCACACCAAAACCAGCATTCATCAATAGGAGAAAAAAAAAAATGCCCTATTTGCACACACAGCACTTGAGTTATGTTTTCCTTTAATTTATGCCTCCAAAGGGATGCGTAAACAATTACAATTACTTGCGGCAGTCACAGTAAATCACTGTAAATCAGTATACTAAAACAACACGGGCAGATTTAAATGCAAATTGGCCTAGGGAAGGTGGCCACGTAAGCTTTTGAGGTTTACTGTGTTGTGCGTTTTCGAGACTACAAAATGTCTTGCAATTTGAGTTGAGCTGTTTAGGCCATAAACAACACACTTCACTTCCAACGACAGCAGGCGCGGTATAGCGCACGGAATTTGTACTTGTGATTTGCATTTGTGAAACTGCTCCAAACTTTTCATAAATCACCGCTTTCATCTGGAACTACTAGGCAATGCTGTAACCTATTCTGGTACCAGGTACTCAAATGCACTCCATCTCCACTCATTACAGTGCTAGACTACCGTGAAGTGTCTCCAATAGTGAGCAGCAGGACTGTTCATCAGAGGTGACATACAAGTGGGAGCAGGGGATTGGGAGACTGATGGAGCTGTGATCCAAACACACGCTCTGCACCTCCACAACAAGCCGAAGGAACAGATTTATCTGAGGAGAATCAACAACAGCACTCGGTGTACACAGGCGCCATGAATAATTAGCACTATAGACACAGTGAGCAAAAATATGCTCAGACTGCAAACAGCTCTGTGATTCACTAGAATAAATAGGTGCTTTTGTGGAGTGACTTACCGTCGGCATGCATGAAGAGGTATTTTGTGCTGAGAATCAAAACATATTCATGTCTGGGAGAATGCTTTATAAATGAGTTAAAATAAAGCCCTGTGCGTTCTGCAGTGTATTGTCTAGGAAAGCCACCGTGATGCTAGTAAGACAGCCCGTGTGCCAAATTTAAAAGTTTTTTTTTCTGGACTTCACCCAGGTTGCATGCAGACAAACATCATACCAAACATCTTTATTGTCATTGATAAATCTTAAAAACAGTTTATAAACCCCAAATGATGCACAAATCCCTCTCAGGGAGCAAACATAAATACTGTACTTAAAGCATCTCACACGGAGCATCTGTATGAGCCATTTATACGCATTAATTATCCGGAAACAGAACAATTTTTCGAGGCAGTAAAGTAAACCCCTAATGCTCCAGATGTTTGGTTGGAGTCGCCACATGTCTTGTATATTTCTTCATGTGGGGCGAGTCAAATTGAGTTTATTCATAAAGGATGGAGTTGAGATTATTCTGTCTTTGGTTTTCTTATTGTCAGTAAGTCCTACAGAAAGATGGAAGGGATGGGGGATGGTTGGGAATCCTCGAGCCCATTTGAGCCGCTGATCCTTGAGTCTATTTGTTTCTAATGAAAATGTAAATCTTCAAAAAAACAGGCAAACACAAATATTGTGCTTTCAAAAGAGGCTAAGTCATTTCTAGAAACTGCTGGGTGTGTAGCTTTAAAGAAATGTTACCCACACAGCAGTGAGCAGCGCTTCTGTCGGGGACGACTTTCAGCAGGAGATTAATACACATTTGGCACTCAGCGGGAGCATTTACAGCAGGACAGTATATCTGTGATTTACTCAAACTTCAGTGCCCAATTTTTTTTGGTAATGAGCCAAAGCGACTGTGTGGCTCACTGATGTGCGTTTATTCATTTCTGGACAGCACTGCAGCTCTACGGCTGAGAGGGAATGTGATATATCACGGTTTTTACTATAAAAATAATCAGATTTACATTTAAAATAACAGCAACTGGTGTCAGTTAGTGCAACCGAAATCAACAATCCACAAGCATAGCCCTGAGTTTACAAAAAAAACAAAACAGAAACATTATAAATCAATAAATACATAATCAGTGAAAGTAATAATGACATTCCCACATTCTTAATGTGCAGTCTGCGACCCAGTAAATTGTTACACAGTGCTTTTTCAGCAGAAAGCGTGGCAGCTCAGGTCTTTGTACTGACCTCATTCATGCACGGGTGTGATTATTTTCCAAGTCATTTAAGTCACATAAAACCATTTAATTAATAAGCACCCAACCATTGGAGGGATCCCCCTCATAGTTAGCTGAGCATTATTTCCGAGCAGCACTGAGGCGAATCCCCTTAATTGAGAAGTGTCATAAGAGGCATCTGTAAACAGAAGGTGCAAAATAAATAGCCCCGAGCACATCAAGACCACCCCGGCCCTCTAATTTCTTCTTTCGTGACTGTCACTCTTGCCTGCGGCCGAGTCCATCTTGTGCACAGTCCCTCCTCATTTACTATCTGGCACTGCCGGCTCAGGTAGTCACGGATATTCATGCAAGTACCTGAAGCGCATTTTATCAAGGCAGTGTTGTTTGGTTCTGCTGATGAATGGATGAGAGGATGTGATCTTGGTCAGGAGCCATGGATCATTGAACTTGTCTGTTTTTTTTTTTAAAGCAGGCTCTTGGCAAACTTTGATACATGACTGTGCTTCAGAAGTGAAAACAGAACAACACACGACTCTGGGAAAATGTGGGTTTCAAGAGGGTTTTCAGTTGGTGGAGAATATTAGCTTGAGTATCATTTAGTGTGTTTGATGTAGCAAAAATTTTAAAAGGGCAGATCGAGCCTCCTTCTTTGAGATCATTTGAGGTTTCTTTTCAGTAAAAGAGAACTGCATTTAAACTTACATTTTATCATCCCCATGGGAGACATGTTCATGTCTTTTAGAAAAACCTGACATTAGGACTGAGATACCAGAGTATGACAGCTTTTTAGAGTGCAGAAGTCTGTGCAGTCAGTCTTGCTTGGTGGTATATTGGATCATGTCTGTCAGCTGTTTGTTTGTGTCAGTGCATGCGGGACAGTTGTAGAGTGTAGTCTGCTGACATCTGTCATCATCTTGGTCTCCCTCTGTGAGCCTGTTGCTGGAAAGACACAACAAGCCCCTCATTGCCAACATGTCATGCAGAAGAAACAGAACCTCTGACACACTACGCTACTTTTTAAAACTGCCACAGTGTCACAAACACTCAAGACTACATACATTTTTATGGCATTGAGAACACTGTCAATCAAAAAACGCAACATTAAAGCTGCTGTCAAGCACCCTTCAAGAAATGCACACAACAGAGGAAAACACCAAGTGTTGAGGAGACAGTGCAAGCAGAAGGAGGCCCATAACAATGCACACATACAAGCACACTGGAAGCATGACATGACAGCCATAAGTGCACATCTGAGAGAGAAGCATGCTCGAAATCTGTAAGATCAATAAACATATGCCGTCTGCTAGCTGTAGTTTCAAACCATCATGTTGTGTTTCACACTCACCTGCGTTGGGTGTATGAAGTGGGACGGGTGCCCGTGGCCTCGGGCGTGGACATGGGCATGTCTTCCAGGATGGTGCTGATGGTTGGCAGTGTTGCGCTGGGCAGCAGGCCGCTGTTGTACCTGGAGGTGTCTCTGAGCCACTGGCATGTTAACCGGGGGTCTGGGGGGCTGTGGGCCTCGAGCTGGCGATTTGTGCTGGGTGCGGTCTTTAGGAAGGTTTTGAAACTGTGTGAGGGGGATAACAGGTGGAGGAGTCGGTGGGTGCTGAGCCCCAGCAGCTGGAGCTCGAGCTTGCGGTCCAGGATGAAGCAAGGCAGCCTGGGTCTGTTGTTTCCGATTTTCAAATGTCTGAGCGCTTCGAGTGTGGGCTTTAAGTGCAGCCTGGGTGAGGTTACTGGGATTAGGCTGAGCAGAAGGGTATGGGACTGGAGCAGTGCCTCCTTGGCGAGGTTGACTGGCACCATGTATGACAGGCTGTGTCTGTTTGCCCAGGCCTTGTGGTGATGTTGGGATCGTTGTTGCTCTGTGTTGTGGGGCCATGTGTGCCTGTTGAAGGTGATTAGGATCAGCCAAAGCTCTGGTATCTGCACCTTGCGGTGCAGTCATTCCCTGTTGTGTTGTGGGTCTTTGTGACGCTGCGGAGTGGCCTACAGAGGCCTGCTGGCTCATGAGAGGCAGTGCCTGGGGGTTATTGCTGTGAGTGGCTTCCTGCCTGGGGGCAGACTGGCTACCAGGCGGACCTCTGATGTCTTGCTGAGCACTTTCCCTTTGTGTGCGGTGGCTCCTCTGTGTGTGGCGCGAGGGCTCAAGCTGTGTTACACTGGTAGCGTTTGGACGTCGAAGATCAGCTGAATGGCTCCGTGTCTGCCTGTCCACTGATGATGCGTCTTGTCTGAGAGGAGTTCGGCTGCGGGAAGCAGTTTGGCTCCGAGTTTGAGGCTGGGATCTGTTTGTTGTTCTTGGCTCTCGTATGGGAGGACGAGTCGTGTAGTCTGTGGCGTCAGAGACGTATTCAGTTGATGTCTGTCCTCTCTGAAATGTGCCACTGGGATACGCTGGTGTCCCTCTGAGGCGGTCCCAAGGCATCTGTCGAGGGGAAGCGTTCGGACCTTCCTCATGTCTTCCTGAGTTCCTGTCAGACCTTCTCTGCGGCTCTGGATCCTGCTGGTACGTCTGTGTCCTGGCGTTTCGCTGAGAAGTGTTATTGCCGTTATAATGTGTGTATCCAGTTGGGATCAGTCTCGGCTGATCTGTGTGATCTGTGTTTATGTGACCATTCAGCCAGGGATCACCGGGATAGGACTGGCCACTTTGCATTCTGGGATTTGACTGCTCTGCATGCATCAGGCTGCGTTGCATTTGTGAAGCATTATTGTTGGCTGTATTATTAAGAGGAAATGAGCTCTCTTGCTGAGTCTGTTGGTCATTGGTTGGAAATGAGTTAAGATTGACATGAATGGTGGGCATTTGTGCATTATTGTTTGGCTGGCTGGTTTGTGGCAGAGTGTTGAGACTAACGTGGACCGCCGGTGGCTGGCCGCTGCCCTGGGCCGCGCCGGTCTGTATGAGAATGTTGGGGTTTTGCTGCTGTGTGTTTGCATTCTGAGCATCAGTGCGTGTGAAAGCCTGGTTGTCAATGCCATTGTGTGGGTATGAATTGGTGTTCTGAATAGCATTGTGTAGGAGTCTATTTGCGTGCGCATGGCCATTCTGTTGGCGTGTGTCTGCGTTATCCAGGCCGTCCAGTGGTAAGGTTTGTAGGTTGCCACGACTTTCGCGTGCGGCTGTGTATAAGCGGTCGGGGCGGCGTGCGAGTGTGTTCATTTGATAGAGAGGGGGATTGGGACCGCTGTCCAAATTCCTTAAACCATTAGGTTGTGGATCTGGAGGCTTCATGAGAGCAGATAAAAAAAATGAGGGCAGGAAGAGAGAGAGAGAAGGAAAGAATGATGGGGTTAATTTGTGAAAAGCCTTTCAACAGCATCCCACGGACAACAAAAGAACAAAAATCAATAGTGAATCATACGTAAACGTAACAGCAGCTTACTGTAGGCCTTTGATTTGGGTTGGTCTTCTGAACGAGCACTGTCTGCCCTTCGTCTAGCTGCCCTGTTGTAATAGAAATAAAAAATATGTCAACTTATTGCAAGAAATAGAGAAAATTATACCATGAAAAGTGGACAAACAACATCCATGATCACACAAACTTACTCCTTCTCCTTCGAACGAGACAGAAAATGAGCAGGATGAGCAGCACGAGGATTATGATGAACAGCAAACAGCCAATCACAATCCCCACCACTTCTCCTACGTTTAAACATATGTCTGAAATAGAAAGAATGGTGTCATTGGGGGAGAATTAATAAAGATAATGAGTCTGGAGCTCACACAGACCAGCAGAGGGAAGGCAAAAAAAAAAATAGAGGAGATTCTAAAAAAAGCATGATGAAGTAATTGCAGAGAGAGAGAGAGAGGGAGAGACAAGGGAAGAAAGAAATGAAAATAAAGGGAGGAGAAGGAAGTGGAGGAGGGGGGTCACTGAATGACTTTGACCACATTCTCACCAGATCAATCTCCCAGGATACTTTTCTGTCCCTCTCCTGTCGCGAAGACAGATACGGGGACGCGGTCCAAAACCAACCGTCATCATTATCAGTCACAGTAGAGGTCGGTGTTCGCCATAACTCACCCACGATGGCCAAGTCTGTGCTCTGCTCGGACGTGCCTCCAGTGATGGCGTTCCTGGCTGTGCAGACGTACCGGCCGCTCTCATTGGTGGAGAAAGTCTGGACGCTGAGCACCCCGCTGTCCGGCTGGCCAGATGCGATAGGCTGCCCGTCGCGTTGCCATGAGAAGAGGGCAGGGGGCAGCGAGTCGGATAAACAGGTGAGGCGCACCGTCTGTCCCACCAACACGTCCCCTCCCCCGACACACTCTTTCGGGGTGTCCACGGTCAGCACAGGGGTGTCGGGGCCATCTGGTTGGTTGGTGATTAGAGGACACTCTCATCAGCATCAAAAAACATTTGGGTACAATGAGGAATATTGTATATTCAAAAAACTGACTCGAGATGAAATGTTCTACTAAAAGGAGTTATCATTCTTTCAGTTTTGTGTTTAGGTCACCCCATCAGGCTGAATAACTCCGGCGAACCCGCTCTGACCTCGATACTCAGCTTAATGAAAGAGCAAAGCGCTTTCTGGTTTTTATTTTCGATCTTAAAATTGCTGCTCAGGCAACACTTCCACAATCAACATGTCTCAACAATTCATGGTAAGGAGAATCTGATGAGCGGGTGAAGGACGTGTTCCATTCAAAACTTCACTCTGAAGGCTGAAGAAAGCACGGCACACAGTAGAAACACTTCCACAGCCTTTAGTTCAAAACCATGTAGGGCTAGTGAGGCTCGATTTACAAGCTTACTTTTTCTTTTTTTATTAAACATATATATGATGGCTTTCATTTCAAGCCATATAAGGCAATAAAAAGCCCAACAGCTAAATTGAAGCAGCATCTAGTTGTGTAGCAACCTCGCTGGCAACTAAACCCAAGAAAACAATCCAGCGTAAAAACAACAACTTCTGGTCTCACTTCAATTTTTGAACAGATGCTGGGTGAGTTTTGTTTTGCCAGAACCAGACCAGCGGTTTCCCCACACTTGCAGTATTTATTCTAAGCTAATGAACTGCTGACTGTAGCTTTAGGTCGTACAAACAAACGTGTGTCGTGTTATTCTACTGGCAAAAAAAAATAAATGTGTGTATTTTCTCAGCTTGAAAATTGACTAATATCAGAATTGCTGACAATTTATATTTGTTCGTTCCAGCTTCCCCACTTGTGAGGATTTGCAGATTTATTCCTGTTTTGAAATTACTGTGAATCAGACAAAACAGAAAATTTTAAAGATGCCACCAAACTGGGAACGAGGATTTTTCACAATCTCTGATGAACAATTAATGAAAAAATATCAAGATTGGGATAAAATAAAATAAAAATTTTAGATTTACAAGCTATAATCAGAAAGCCAAACTGCCCCCGTGATGGTGAGCTCTAGGAACAAGAGACTTCAGATGAATGTGATTTACATTTGGGCAAAGAAACCTGTGTTCAGATCTTAGAGGACAACCTCTACAGGATGGGGTACTACTGTGAGACTGTCATGTCAGAATTAATGATGTGATCAAGACAAAGCCAGAAGCAGCACAATAAGCTTACGAAAGGATGTCCTGCGGTATCCGTGTGCGATTCCGCAGACTCTATGCGGTGCAATGTGAATAAGCAGATAAGCTACTGCTATTTGCAGTGGCTACAGCAGATTAGTTGCCACTTGTCTTGATCAGTGCAAACTCACAGTAGACAGTGAGGCTCTGCGTGGCGGTTTGAGCGCTGACGGGGTTGCTGGCGGTGCATGTGTACTCCCCGGCATCGCTCCGTCTGGCTGGGTTAATGACCAGAGAGCCACGTGAGATGGTGATCCTGGAGTCAGCGATGATGGCTGAGCCTCCTTTGCCCCACTGGACTGTAATTTCCGTCCCGGCAGTCCATGTGCAACTCAGAGACACGTTTCCTCCCTCGACCGCCACTGAAGGAACAAACAGACTCACCCCGGCCACGGCGTCTACAGGGAGGATGTAAAAAAATACATTTTTATAAAAGAGCTGCAAAGGCGGAATTGTCGAGAGAAGGTTTCTAAAGTAACCATTACTGTAAGAGAGGTAGAGCGCACTTCAAAAGTTGAAGTGACGGAACAATACAGGGCAGTTTTATGTTTCTGTTGAGGATAATTTGTTGTAATCAAAGCAAGTGAGAGCTGAGAAGGGACAGGATTCAGATAGAAGCACAGATGGTGAATAAGGGGGCAGACGGTGTGAGTGGTAGCCGAGATGCCTCTTGGCGAGCAGCCTAAGTTAAATAATTGGAAAGGGAGAAGAGGGGGCGTATAGATGGAGGAGGAAGCTGTGACTAAGAGAGAGAACCGCGGCAGCAACAGCAAACAAACAAAAACATTCGAGCAAACCGCTAAATAGCTCTAATCACGCGAATATTTTGGTTTTTTTGCCGCTCATCCGCTTACCTGTGACTCAGCAGTAGCATTTCATGTTTTGGGATTTTAGCTGCCTCTCGTTTCAAGAGTGAGCAGCGAGTAAGTAGGAGGTTGAGAGTCGTGCTCAAGGACTCGGCTGTTCCGTGACACGAACTAGCAGTTGTGAGTTTTGAGGATGTGACCTTTCAGCAATAATAGACTAGTGCTTCTAACAATTCAGCCACCCTGCCACCCCATTAGCACCGCTGGTAGGGATGAGAAAGACCGTACGTCATGCCTCCAGCGTGGGCTGGTGGCTGAAAATAACGAGAGACACTCAGCTGTTCGGGCTCCATTACAGTGCTGAATATAAATGAAATGCAAATACAGTATGTACTGTATGTAAATGCAACGCTACACTTAGACGGCTACAATATCAAACATCTCACACCGTGAGTGCTGCATATCAAATGAGTTTTAATTAGCATAAAGCCCTGAGCCACTGGCTTCATCCCCTCCTCCTTTTTCATTAATTTTACCTCGCCTTCTATGGGTCACTAATTTCATTATACCTCCCAGACTAATTCTCTTACTCCCTGAATCCTCCTTCTTCTCCCTTCTGTTCCTCCTTTACATTATCTCTTCCCCCAAAACCTCCCTCTCACATACACACTACACTTCTCCTCCTACCTTCCCTCCCTCCCTTCCTTATTTTTATTTTCTTTTCCTTGGGTGAACTCACAGGTACACTCCTTTATCTCTTACCAAACACTCTCAGCTGTATTGATCGAGAGTTAGCAGCCAGGCCGGTGGTAGCAGAGGGGATCACCTCCACCGTGTAGTTTCCCGCATCTCGGAGCTGGGCGCCTCCAATCCTGAGCTGGGTGGCGGTGATGGTGACCCGGCCCTGGAACTGGGCCACCGGGTTCACCACTGCAGCTCCTCCTGCCCACAGACCCAGAGTGACTCCTCCTTGGTACTGCCATGTCATGGACAGGACCTCGGACACCGTGAGCACTGTGAACACTATTTCAACACCAGTTTGAGTCAGCACCGGGTCTGTCTGGAACTGGATCTCCACCTGGTCTTGAGCCAGTACGTTGGCAGAGAGGAGCGCTGAACAGAAAATAAAAAATATTATGTTTGCAGTGTTTGTCATGGCGGTTTAGAGCAGCAGCAGCAACATGCTACTATCTGATAAATGAAAAACACAAAGTACAGCTGATTGGATTTGTTCTGCAGGTTTCTTGATTAAACACCAACATAAATCCACCAGATGATGGCGCTACACTAAAAGTTAAGGTATAGGGACAACACATTTTCCTGAGGGACATATAGATGTTTGCACAAGATTTTAGAGCAATCCATGAAATAGTTCTTGACATTGGCTTTTGTGACAACACACCCACATGCAAGGGTGTAAAACTCCAAACAATCCATACAAATCTGTAAAGCAGAACTTTCAATTTCTTCTCTTCTGTCCCATTATTGGTCACACCAACCCTCAACTACAACAGAGCTGCATATAAAATCATTAAACAGGGTTCACCAGATCCAGCTATAATGACAAAACGCTCCTCACACAAAAGTTGGTTTCCCTGCACAACAACTTACACTTAAAAATCAAAGCGCATTCTTCCGTACTTTTCCTCAAGTTGTATTCATAAACGACTAAAGTAAAAGGATCCGTTTACATCTTTCACCACTGCAGAGAAGAAAATCTATAGATACACAGACTGGGCTCAGGGGGTAAAAACCCATTAGTAAGGTACACACTCCTTCCTTCCTCATAGATTTCAGGCCATGTTTTTTTGGATTGTAAGTGATCCCAAGCTAAACATCTATTTTGTGTTTTTGTTAGCCTGACTTAACGTAAGCCATGACATAATCATATTTGCCATCTCTCCGTGCAAGAATCAGTGGCGCACAGGCAATTTTTAAGCAACTACGCGGCGAAGAACCGACGATTTTAACGTATTCAGGCATTTAACTCTCGTATGCCGTTTGTCCATTTGTAGTCTGCAGGGGAGTGAAGAAGAAAATCTGTGTTTTTGTATTTGGCTGCCAGTCCTCCCCCTTGTTTGTGTTGGCATTACAGATTCAGGCTGGAAAAGCCCGGCAGAATTTCCAATGCCCTTTTACTGGCATATAAAGCTACCACGCAAGAACGCTCTGGCCAATGAATTATAGTGAATCAAATCAATATGGTCCTGATCAGTCTCGCTGGACTGCCTTGGCAAGATTTTCACAGGAGAACAGGGAATAAAAATGACAACGGCTAAATGGATTGTATTCAGGTTCCCACTATGAGTTGTTAAAGGCAACAAAGGTATTTTTTAGGCTTTTGGCTTTTGTTGCGTTTTCATTGGAATAAAGGGTAATGAGTCAGAGGTGAGGAACGCCCACGAGTGACGCAGCACAACGCCGATGCTTTCGTTTGTGGTTGGATTAGTTTCACAGGGCCGGAACATAAAAGTGAGTTGGAGAAAAGTTGTTTTTTTTATTTTTTTTGACCTTGCAAAAAGTCAGATTTTAATCACAACTACATGACTAATACAAAACCAACTGTGAAAGTGGGTGTAAAATCCATCTCTTGATTTATCACTGAACTGAAACATCTGAATGCTTTCAACAAAAGTATAGGATGAATCAGTATTGTGTAGAATCAGCTGCGTTCAGGTGAGTGTTTAATATTACTAAAGTGCTGATGATTACCTTTAATTATCTTAACAACCCTTAGTTAATGAACACATTGATGAACAAGGTGATTTACATTCCTGGTGCTAATTTTCTTTCCCCATCTTACTGCGGCAGCACAAATACCTTAACAGGATGTTTGCTGATTGATCTTTGCCATTTTCACACATTACATTTTCTACAAAATGAAAACACAGTGCGATGAAAAGGATAAAAATCAGTTAAATCCACATTAAAAAGCAATTGTATTCCCATTTGAAGTCATAAATCAATAAACACATCTTGCGAAAAAGAAAAGAAATAAACGTTTTGTTATGAGTGCAGGAGGAAAGGATGCATTTTTAATTGATTTTTGATATTAAATGCAAACTGGTCTGACCTCAATGATATCATATTTTCTTTTTAAAACAACAGCCAAGTATTGAGAGTAAGCCTGTTTTCAAAAAAAAAAAAAAAGAGCATAGGCTACTTATAAATATTCAACAAACAAATGACCTCCTCGTTATTCTGCAAACACCGGCCCAGAGCTCAAACGTCGGAGCCCGTGAGGAGGCCCTGAAGGCAGCACGTCACTCAGCAGTCAGCGCACAGACGGAATGCAGCCGCGCTGGTTTAAGAGCGGTTAAGACGAGCTTTACTGCTCCAAACGCAATTGTTTTTTATGAACGTGCCTGGAATACCACAGCGTTTTCTTCCCTGTCATGTGTTTTTGTTTTTTTTCTCTTTTCTTTTCTTCTCCTCCCTCACAGAACAAACTCGACCGATACTCTTTGGAGACTTCTGTGAGCTGTTTGAACGTTACAGTCAGAGAGAGAGAAAAAAAATAAAAAACCTGTCAGTGGAAATTGTTTTACCTGCCAGCGACAGACTGATAAGGACCAAAGGTTGCCTCATGTCGTCAGTCAGGCCGGTCTGCGGAGAGATAAAACACTTTAATATACAAAATTACTTTCTGCTGTGAAGTCTGGTCATTTTAACATTTTTTTTTTTTTTTGGAAAACATATTCTCTCCGTCAAAGACTGAATAGAAACCCGTCACACTTTCACCGCCTCCTGAACTACTCAGTCACCGACAAACCTTCTCTCTTGATTAGTTATTAAAGGAGCTAAACTGTATGAATCTTACCAAAGTATTCCCCCGCAGCCCTCATATTCATTTTGTGCTGAAACAAGGTTCCGTATGGTTTGTTTGCTTACTAATGCATGTACTTCCTGAATCTCTATGATTACCTGTCAAGGGCGCACCTGTTCTCTTAAAGGGGCCACACCTATTTATCTGCAGACTCACCAGTGATGGAGGG